AGTACATAGGGAGGGCGATCGCTGGGGTTCATAGGCTTTATGAGAAGAGCATTAAGCACTCTCATCCCAATGTCAATAATGAAATTGCTTACATAAAGAACTGGGCTATAAAGGTCAACTCAAGTGAAATCCAAATGTCCCTTGGGAAATACAGTCCGCTCTCTTTCCCCTTTCCTCTTCTTTCCTCTCCCTCCCCCTCCCTCTCCCCACCTTCCTGTTTTCTTTCCTTATCTAATACCAACTACATAGCTCTGTCCTTCCCTTCTATTTCAAATTTTGCAAACCAGAAACTTTGGACCAGGTCTCTCAGCCTTGCAATTTTCACCTTTTAAGAGTTGTGTTATAGAATCCTTTGCACTATATAAAAAAGTCTGTCAGGGAAGTACTCATAGAAATGTTTGAAAATAGCTCAGCGTTTTACACCTAATTCAGACAAAGACACTAGAGTGAAACCTCATCATTGTGTGCATACCAGGCCAATTTGCTAATAATGTGTGCCTACAGATTTCTTTATTTAAATATGGTGGGTTTTATATTTTTTGAATACTTGCATGGATTATTAATAGTATAAAATGTATTTGAACAGAGTGCTTGGAGTACCACTATTTGTTAAAAGTAGGGTCCTCTGTCCTTCACACATCTCTGCAAATCAAGAAATAATCAGGCCTCTTTCTGAAGTTAGTAAACCTCATCAAGTCTTCTCACCTTAAGAAAGTCTGATCCTCTTCCAGTTTATCAAACAAAAATGGTAACCCAAGTAATTTATTGGTGAAAATAACTTTGGAATCTATTAGTACTTTATGAGGCAAAGAGAAGCAGGTCCAAAATTGGGTCAGTAAAACTGTTGTCAACTACAGGATCCTTAGGTCACTCCCTTACCCCAGCAGGCAGCACCTCTAGTTTCTAGGATTTCAACATGACTTGAATGTTCTGGAAGCGTCTCAGCCATCCCAAGAGCATCCCTGTTCCTTCTAGCATCGCTGAACGATGTCAGCCTCCAATGGCCACCCAGGTGACCGTAATGATGAACCTCAGGGTGCTAGGCAGGACCAACTACCCATCCTCTGAGCTGCTCCTCAGAGCTGCTGAGAGAGAGACATCAGGAACAGGGCGCAGCCCATGGAGGTTTCTACCTCTTTAAACCCCCATGTTGAGCCACTGACATTCTTCCTGTACCTTTCCCCCCAGTCGAGCTGGACATACTACAGATGGTGCACAGCATTCTTCTGGGTAAAGACAAAGAGGTGCCTCCCCTTCAGGCAGAGGAGGGCCCTTCTCAGAAGTAAGAAGCAGGGAAGGTATATCCCACTGAGGCCTTCGGGTTAGCAGTGATGTCATCTGGAAGAGAGGGGAGCAGGAAAGATCGTAGCCTGAGGGGGCCTTTTCCACACAAAGCCAGTCTCTCTTAGGTATTGTGATAGCTGCCTTATTATTTTTCTATGTTTTAGGGTTCACATTTCTTTTCTTTTGAAACAAATTCTATCTTGGTAAGGGCACCTAACATGAGGTCACCCCCTTAACAGATTCTTCAGTGCACAGTACACTATTGGGATCTACAGGCAAGCTGTGGTAAGCAAACTTCCAGAACTGAGTCATCTTGCCTGACTTAAACCTTATACCCGTGATAAGTACCTCCCTGTTTCCCTCACCCAGTTCCTGGCAACTGTGACTCTATTCTTTACTTCCATGAGTTTGACTATTTTAGATGCCTCATTCAGGGGATTCACGCAGCATTGATCCTTCTGGACCTGGCCTATTTCCCTTGACATAACCTCTTCCGGGTTTATCCATGTTGTCTCAGATGGCAATGTTTCTTCTTTTTCATAGCTGAATAATATTCCACAGTACCTATATGCCACATTTCTTTATCCATTCTAAGCCAGTTTACATTTAGGTGTTGTGAGTAATACCGAAATGAACGCAGGAGTGCTGCTCTTTCTTCCAGATCCTGACTTAAATTCCTTTGGGTAAATACCAGGCAAGGGATTGCTGGATCATATGGTAGTTCTGGTTTTCAAGGGTTGAGGAAACTCCATACTATTTTTCATAGTTGCTTTACCATTTTGCATTTCCATGAATAGTATACAAATGTTCCCTTTTCCCTACAACCTCATTGTTACTGTCGTTTTTTGTTTCCTTATGGCAGTCATTCTGCCATAAGATGTGATAGCGTGTGAAGTGATAGCACATATGGTTTTGATCCGTATTTCCCTAATGATAAGTGTCGTTGAGCATCTTTACACATGGCTGTTGACCGTTTATGTCTTTGATGAAATGTCTATTCAAATAGTTTCTCCATTTAAAAATTAAGGTTATTGGGGCACCTGGGTGGCTCAGTGGGTGAAGCATCAGTTTCATGATCTCGTGCTTCATGAGTTCCAGACCCACATCAGGCTGTGTGCTGACAGCTCAGAGCATGGAGCCTGCTTCAGATTCTAGGTCTCCCTCTCTCTCTGCCCCTTCCCTGATCTCTTTCTCTCTCAAAATTAAACAAACATTAAAATAATATATTAAGAATTAAGGTTATCCATTTTTTTTTTTGCTTTGGAATTGAAGGTACTCCTTATATTTTGGGAACTAACCCCTTATCATATATATAGACAGCTGTGTTTCTTGAAGACCTACCTTATATTAGGTATATCGCTGAGTTTTTGCAGCAAACTTTTGAAGGAAGATACTTTTTGATTTGAGGTATAATTGACAGTGTTCTATTAGTTTCAGGTATACATCATAGGGACTCGACAGTTCTGTACATTACTCAGGGCTCATCGCAGTGAGTGTGCTCTAAAACCCACTCACTTATACCTCTGTCTCCACCTGCCTCTCCTCTGACTACGGCCAGTTTCTTCTCTGTATTTGAGAGTTTGCTTTCTTGTTTGCCTCTGTTTCCTTTGTTCGTTTTGTTTCTTAAATTCCACATATGCATAAATTCACATGTATTTGTCTTTCTCGGACTTTCACGTAGCATTATACCATCCAGGTCCATCCATGTTGTTGTGAATGACAAGTTTTCATCATTTTTGTTTTGTTTTGTTTTTTGTTTTTCTGTTTTTGATGTTTGTTTTCATTGCCTGAGCAATTTTCCATTGTCTGTATTTACCACATCTCTTTTGCCCAGGCATCTATCAGTGAGCACTTGGGCTGCTTCCAGATCTTGGCTATTGCAAATAATGGTGCAATAAACATAGGGGTGTCTATATCTTCTCAGATTAGTGTTTTAGTTTCCTTTGGGTAAATAGCCAGTGGTGGATTAACTGGATCATATGGTCATGCGTTCGTTAATTTTTTGAGGACCACCAGACTGTGTTCCCCAGTGGCTACACCAACTTACCTTCCCACCAAAAGTCCATGAGGGCTCCTTTGTCTCCACACTCTCGCCAACCCTTGTTATTTCTTGTGGTTTGATCTGAGGCATTCTGACAGCTGTGAACTGATATCTCAGTATGGTTTTGATTTCCATTTCTCTAATGATTAGTGATGTTAAGCGTCTTTTCCTATGTTTGCTGGCCATCGGCATGTCTTCTTTGGAGAATGTCTGTGCAGGATAAATTCCTCTGCTCATTTTTGAATCAGATCATTTGTTTTCTTCTCTTTTGATGTTGTCTTGTATAAGTTCTTCATATATTTTGGGTATTGACCCCTTATCAGATGTATCATTGGCAAATATGTTCTCCCATTTAGTAGGTGGCCTTTTTGTTTGGTGATGATTTCTTTCCTTGTGCAAAAGCTTTTTATTTTGGTGTAGACCCAATAGTTTAATTTTTCTCTTGTTTCCCTTGCTTGAAGAGGCATTTCTAGAAAAACCTTTTCTGCCACTGAAGTCCAAGAAATTAGGAGGCTGGTGTACTTCTTATCTCTGCTCTACACATATGGTAAATGATCTTTAGGGAGGTTAGGAATTATTTAAGGTCACACGGTAGTGGTGCCTACAGATGTCTGCATAACCAGGGCACTCATGTTTTCACCACAAGGCCTAGTGAGTGATATTAGCCGAGGTGTTACTGTGGTTCAACAAACGAATACTAAGAGTTTCTTGATGGGTTTTCTGTTGGCCATGTGTTATTTATCTAGGCGAAAACACCCATGAATTGAAAGGTGGGGCAAATAGCTTATGGAGCTTCCTTCCTTGAATGTACTAAGTCTGGAAGGCCCACCGAAGGCCAATTCAGAACAGGGAGCCTCATGGAGAGTGAGTGAGCTACCTTTCGCAGGAGGAAGCAGCATGTGCTGTTGGGGAGCATGAGGAGAAAATCTGTGAAACGTGTGCAGTTCAGACACTGAGTCAGTTTTGAAGACGTGAGAGAAAATGACTTTGGGTTTCTAGCGGACCACAAGTCCCCCTCAGTGATGAGGGCCACAGAGAGCACATTATGTCAGTGTGTAAAGCTGCAAGTGTGGAGACTTTGGAGAGGCCAAGCCAGTGGCCTAGAAAACAAGGATTGTGCTGTCCTGGTGAAGGCCATTAATGGAGCCACATAAAACGATGCCCAGGCTGGGGCTGTCAACACCTAGGAACCGAGAGAAGACTGTGGCTCTGTTCAAGCCAATTAGTTGTCGAGAAGAGCCCGGAGACCAGTAGGACATGGTCGAAAGGGTTAGTTGTAAACGAAAACTGTGGGTGAGGGTTAAGATACGGCCAGGCTGCAGGGCCCGCTCACCCTACCGTCTACTCTACTATCAAAGGGAACAAAGCCGGATGCTGGGCAGGTGGAACTGCATGGGGCAGCAAGCTTTACATTTAAGGTGCTGGGGGAGCCAGGGCGCAGGGGAGGCACCACCTCTGACTACAGAAGAGCATTACAGATGTCACAGAATGTCTCATGTTCCCTAACTGTCACATGACACTGACACGGGAGGGCGAGACAAGGTCTCAGGTGAATCACTGAGCCTTCCCCAGTGAGGGTGAGGAAGATCCTGGACAAGGAAGTTTGGTGATATCCGCATGAGTGTGGCAAGTCATTTCTGAGATTATGTGCAGATGGTAATTTGGTTGTGAAATGAGAGCATCATCCCAGCCCTGGGCTGTCCCCTGCATGGGCCCGCCTGGCCCTTATAAAAGCACTCTCCACCACACTGGTGCTATCTTCTGGAGACACTGAAGCATACATCTCCTTTGAAGCCTCTGGTGAGTCCAAGTCTTAGCAATCTTTTTGGGCACTTGGATGGTGGTGGGATTTAATCTGGGAGAACACAGCACCATTTATTTTAGCCCATTAAAGCTCGTGCACGGGGAGAAGAAGATCATGAGGTGCGGGGGATACATGTTAGTCAGCATTTGGTAGGTGGCCGTGAAGGCCATGACAGAAATGCAGTCCGAGGTACAGTCCTAGGCTGACCGACAATGACAGAGACGAGGTGGTGTCCTGTGGCCTGTTGCACGCACGTTCCAAGTGCGTCCCTCCCAGAGCCCAGTCCCCTTGAGTGCTGGGTGGGAGGCTGGGCAGTCCTCCTCAGAAGCCCGGGGCTCAGAACCCCAGTCAGGTCAGTGAGACTAGTAACCAGGGCTCAGAAAGCTATCGGTAGAGGTCCGTTTGGGGACTGGCTAGAAGTTTCAGCTTTCATATCTGGGTTCTTCTTCTCCGCGTGATGTCTGTACTCACAGAGCACACAGGCCATCGTGTCTGTACAATGCGATAGAATGAAGCATTAACCGGAAAAGGCCCAAGAGGTGCTCAAAGGGAAGGGCGAGGGAGCCCCACAGACCCATACAGACAGCGTGAGGGAACTGAGGGTCCCTGCAGGCTGGAGGGTCCGCGGCCCAGCTCCTTGCTGTGCCAGCAGGACTGCCCGTGTTAGGAACGCTGTCGTCTGTTTGCATCTCAGGCTCCTTGCTGCCCAGGAACGATGTCTTATCAACAGCAGCAGTGCAAGCAGCCCTGCCAGCCACCTCCTGTGTGCCCTCCCCCGAAGTGTCCGGAGCCATGTCCCCCTCCTCCGTGCCCCCCTGTGCCGTGCCCCCCACCCCCCTGCCAGCAGAAGTGCCCTCCTGTGCCGCCGAGCCCCCCCTGCCACCAGAAGTGCCCACCCAAGAGCAAGTGACCGCAGCAGGATGCACCAGGACCACGAAACCGCAAGACACAGGCTCTCCCGTGGGCGTCTCAGGACTCCATCCCCGTCCCTTCAGCCGCGAGGACAGAATGCATGTTCCCTGACCTGCCACCTGGGTTGACAGCGGACAGAGAAAAGGCTGCGTTCCCGGAGCTGGTCCCACGTTGTGGGAAGATGAGCAGTGGGCTGTGGTCTAATCGCACTTTGCCATCAGTCTGTCTGCGATCTGGGTGGTGATCTCTCCCCTGTGAGCCTTTTGGTGGCCCTGTTCTTTCGCTTCTCCAATAAAGCACGTGTGTCTTGGTTGAGTCCACATTACTTTTGTTTGCACTTTGTGTTTGTAGTCTCTTCTGTCCACTACACCACATGAATGTTCCTTTCCATTCCGGTTGAGATACTTCTTAGAGTCAAGCTTTCCCATCACCTGAGTTCAGTGTTGCCGGAAATGTGTCTCGTGGAATGGGTACATCAAATGATTCTCTTTTACTGGTTTTAAACTCATGTCTAGCCTTTTCTGGTACAAACGTGAGTACAAAGTTAGGGAAATAGGTAAAGAAGATTTAAGCTATTTCTTTTGCAATGTATTTCCAGTTTGCCACTCTGGTTTCAAATTCAAATTCAAACTAGTTAACGTATAGCGTAGTATTGGTTTCAGGAGTAGAATTCAGTGACTCATCACTTACATAGGACACCTAGCGCTCATCACGACGTGTGCCCTCCTAAATGTCCGTCACCCATCTAGCCCACCCCACCCCCCTCCAGTAGGCCTCAGGTTGTTCTCTGTATCTAAGAGTCTCTTATGGTTTGCCTCCCTCTCTGTTTTCCTCTTGCTTCCTTTTTCCCTTCTCCTGCCTTCATCTCTTTTGCGTCTACATTTACCGTGAGTGAAATAATATACTTGTCTTCCTCTGACTGATTTATTTCGTTCAATATACTACACTCCAATTCTATCCACACTGTTGCAAATGCCAACATTTCATTCTTTTTCATCGCCAGGTAATATCCCTTGTATATCTATATACCACATCTTCTTTATCCATTCATCGCCTGATGGACATCTGTGCTCTTTCCATAATTTGGCTATTGTTGAGATGCTGCCATAAACATTGGGTTCAGTTCGCCACTTTCAAAATACACATTTAAATTAAGTTTAATCATTTCAATGAATTTTAACTTGTTTTTCTTTCTGAGAACATGTATTGGTTTTTCTTTGAACGCAACCCTGAGATACATCCAGAATGAGATTGTTCAGCCCTATTTGAGGCATATTTTGTGAGTTATTGCTCAGGTCTCAAAACCTCAGGGTCAAGAATCATCTGAATCTGAATCTGAATCATTACCCAGAACTCAGTGAGGGGCCCCCACCTACTATTAGCTGGACTGTTGAAAGCATGGAGAATAGGAGTGAGATTAATTTCATGCTCATGGTGAATATTCTTAGGCATCAAATGGACAGAAGTTGTAAAGACTACTCAACAATCAGAAATATATTCTCAGGGTCCCGGTGTTAAGTGACATTTCCAAATGGACAATACCTTCAATCTCCCTCATGCAATTAGAGAATAGGAAATTGTACTTCCCCCAGTGTCCACAGATATGAACAGTCCTAAGAAATGAGTGTCTTCTGCTGAATGAAATGAGCGACCCACATTCCTTTCCCTTCTGCCCAGAGACATTGAGCACTCTGAAGGACACTGAGCCCCTGGCCAGGAATGTGGGAGGAGACAGAACCACACCTAAGTCATTCCACTGAAATGCCACCCCAGCGCCCCCGCCAGTGACCAACGTGAAATGAGGAATGGCAGGCTCCTGCAACCCATTCATGGATGGGAGCCTCAAAGTCCACAGTCTGACCCACCCAGACCTCTGATTTCGATCAGATCCTCACCACTGCCAACCTGTGCCGAATTAAACGCCTTTTGGGGTAAACTCTGCATGTTCATCATCGTACTTGCCAACAGTATATTTTAACTTCTATGTGTCCCGTTAGGTTACTTAAAGTCTTAGTAGCCCCTCAATACGGGCAGTTTGTCTCATTCAGTCCGGGTCTGCGATGTCTCCCACAGAGCGCGCTGCCTTATCAGGACTGGCCGGCACAGGTTAGGGATGGCTCTCTGGGTCGGCCCTCTCTGCAGTCTCCCCAGCAGGTAGCTCCAGGAGCAAGACAGAGCAGGAGAGGAGCTAGAAGTTTGTCATGTGACTGGGGAAGACGAGGAGGCCAGTGAGTCAGGGCACCAGCTGTCCCACCTGATCCCCCCCACCCTGCACTAGAGAGTGGAGACACGCAGCCCTACAGCTCAGGGCACTGAGGGCACACTCGGTTCAACGTAGCACAAGAAAGACACATCTGAGCCAGAGTTACCCCCAAGGCTGGGACTGTCACTGCTGGAGCCATGAAGCCTCTGTCTGATGAAGAAATCAGCCTTGAAACCCAGAATGTAGTTTTAAAAATTGAAACAGGATGGACAGATATGTTTCTTTTACTCAGTTTATGTATAATATAAATGAAGCTTCAGTGAACATTCATATATATGATCCTCTGTCTAAACTCCAAATTGCTTCCTAGGATTGTTTTTATGTCATAATAATAAGTTAAACATTATGAATATTTTAAGATCCTTGATGTATATTGCAAAATTGATCTCTAGTCATTGTGAGTGCCTTCCCACGTATTGCTGTGCCTGATGTTATGCATATTACATACTTTATAAGTATGCTCTAGATCACCTCTTTCAATAGAAATAAAGTACAGAATACAAATGTGAAAAAAAAAATTGAAACAGGATTTTATAAGGAGATACAAGATTCATCACCTTGACAGAGCCATGTTGCCTGACGCTCCAGGACTCCAATTGACCTGGGGAACTGAAAAGCACAGGGCTCTAGAAGCTCGGTATCCTGGAAAAGAATAGGGAGAAGAAAAAGAACATTTGAGAGATTTAATATGTTTCACTCATTTTGTGTGGGCTGTTTGCTGCCTTTTTAAAATCAGGAAGTACAAAATTAAAGAAAGGAATGCTTCCAGTGAGAGATTTAATGTGATCCTTAAAATTTGGAATGAACCAGCAAGAGAACTAAAGCTCTTGAATGTTTTTAATACTTGTCCAAGAATTGCCAAACACAGCTCCTCGGGAACATTGTAAAGGCCATTTAGGCTGTGTATATTAAGAGCTAGGAGCTTTCCATCGCTTGACGTCTACCATCTCTCTCCCTAGGGCAGCTCCGCGTGAGACAATGGCCGTGTGGGATTGCCCAGGTGGATTTGAGGAAAGTCAAGAGGCCAAGCTGTCTGCCTAAATCTGGAATGACAGTGGGGAACATCAGATCTCATTTGTGATGAAAATGACAAAGCCAGTACAAAAGCTATGTGAAACCATCCCTATAATTTCCATCCCTAAGTATTTTAGAACTGGATTGTGTGTGTATGTTTATGTGAGAGTTTTGTCAATATACCCAAAGAGTATATAAATTCTTACATTTGAAATGTTAATTATACATGGATAAAAAGAGTAATAAAATGAAATTGTATCAGCCAGAATAATCAATATCAACATCTGGGGTATTGACTGCTTGACATTTATTCTTCAGTTTACTCTTTCTTTGCTTTAAGCTTTTTATTTTGAGAAATTTTAAGACATATATGGAAATACTAAATATCTGTATCACTCAAAATGAGTAACTATTGGTATCATGTGATACCTGGTTAGCATTTTTAACATGTAATTAATTTTTAAAATTACAAAATGTATGTATACCCTTTCATTTGAAAGAGGAAATATAACTATAAAGAAAAGGCTAAGATACCTTTGACTACTCTTCTAACTCACTCCCAGACTCAGATAATCATGAGTGGCACATACAAGCATTTCATTTAAGAATGTTCTTATGAAGTATAATTAACACCAAGTTTTATATTGGTTGCAGGTGTACAATATAATGATTCAACAATTTGATACATTACTCAGTGCTCATCACGATAAGTGTGCTTTCAATCCCCATTATCTGCTGTGCCCATCCCCCTCCCCACCTTCCCTCTGGCAACCACTGGTTTGTTCTCTGTATGTAAGAGTCTATTTTTTCTTTGTCTCCTTTTCTCTGTTCTTTTGTCTTGTTTCGTAAATTCTGCATATGAGTGAAATCTTGTGGCATGCCTTTCTCTAACTGACTTCTTTCATTTAGCATTATACCCTGTATCTCCATCCATGTTATTGCAAATGGCAAAATTTCATTTTTTATGGCTGAGTAATATCCCATAATAATAGTTATAATTTATATATAAATATATATAATATATAATCTTATATATAAATAAAGTGTATAATGCTTAATTATATTTATAGAATTATATATGATATATAAATAATCTGTATAATTTATACATATATATAAAATCAACACATGTGTGTATGTGTGTGTGTTAATGTGTATATACACACATCTTCTTTATCCACTCATCTATCGATGGACACTTGGGTTACTACCATATCTTGGTTATTGTAAACAATGTTGCAAGAAACATTGGAGTGCATATATATTTTTTAAAGATTTTATTTGTAAGTAGTCTCTACATCCAATACAGGGCTCGAACTTATAACCCTGACTTCAAGAGTCACATGTTCCACTGCCTGAGGCCACCATATGCCTCAAGAGTGCATATGTCTTTTAGAATTAGTATTTTCATTTTCTTTGGGTAAATAGCCAGTTTTGGAATTGCTCGATCATTTGGTAATTCTATTTTTAAGGTTTTAAGGGACCTCTTTACTGTTTTCCACAGTGGCGGCACCAATTTGCATTCCTACCAACATTGTATGTGGTTCCTTTTCTCCACATCCTTGCCAACCCTTGTTATTTTTTGTGGTTTTTATTTTAGCCATTCTGACAAGTATAGGGGTAGTTTTGATCTGCATTTCCCTGATGCATAGTGATGTTGAAAATCTTTTCACCTGTTTGTTTATCATCAGTATGTCCTCTTTAGAAAAATGTCTGTTCAGGTCCTCTGCCCATTTTTAATGGGATTATTTTTGAGGGTGTAGACTTTCTATATTTTGGATATTAACTCTTTATCAGATGTATCACTTGCAAATATCTTCTCCCGTTTAGTAGGCTGCCTTTTCTGTTTTCCTGATGGCTTCCTTTGCTATGCTACAGTATTTCATTTTATTACTATATGCTATTTCTATGTATTTCATATATTCACGTGCCCATAGAAATAAATAATATTGATTTTTGCATCTATTTTTGTTTTCATGGATGACTATCTATCCAATCTACACACACACACACACACACACACACAGATTTT